GAGAGATTATATAAAATATGAAAGAATGAAGTATAGAGATAGCTATAATAAGCTTATATTGCTAGATCTTTTCTGTTAGAACACCTGGTACGAAAGCTAGGCGAAATCACAATAACATAAGCAGGAGACAGGCTTGAAGAGGTAGCTGGTAGGTCTCTGATTGTATTAAGACTAATTCTTGCTGAGTGCAGGAACAGAATTGAGAAGGCGATACGCTGGCTATGTAAGAGAGAGCGGCATGTGATCTGCTAGCGCTCCGAAGACGCCTTGGCGGGAGCGCCACTCCTGACATTTTCTTATAAGCTGAGATATAATAATTATATATAATATTCTAATTAGCTATTAAGAAGGAATACTTCGCTTTAAGAATACAAAGCTGTATAAATAAAAGCTGATAGAATACTAAATATAATCTATAAGCTGAATATTATCTTCTTTATAAAAGAAATTGCAAACTTGCTTAAACTATCTATTAAAAGCAATCTTAACAGAATAAGAAGAAATATATTAGCTTTTGCTCTAAAGAATTTCAGAACAAGTAGAGCATTTAGCTTAGTTTTATCAAAACAATAGTTCCAAGAGAATATAGCTTCAGCTAGCTCAATCTTGCATTTATCAAGAGAATATAGTATCAGCTCAGAATTAAATCAACTCTTATTTGAAACTCTTACTAATTCTTACTTCTTCTTATCTTAGAAAATGCTTATTAGTTCAGAACTAACAATTAATCTATCAATATAGCAAATAGCTAGGCCTGAGCGTGCTACTGAAGCTTTATTGCATTAGAAACTAAGAAGTAGCAATATTATGCTTCTCAGTTTTCTTAATAGATTTCAGAAGCTTTATATGCTTCTATAGAATAAGCTTTATAGCCTTAATCCTATCAAGCTCTTAATAGATTCTCTGAACTAAATAGAATTTAATCATGCTATTAAGATAGATATATATAAAGCGGATTATAAAAGGATTTATTGAATATGAATACAGAATCAGAAGAGAACTGCTATTGCTGCTGCTACTCAAGCAGAGTTTGAAAGCAAATAGAAACAGAAAAGAAATCAATATTAGAATCTATTCAAATAATACTTATATTATAAATAAACTAAAGATAAATACTAATACTTCTGCATTAATTTAAATAATAATTTAAATAATAAGAAGAAATATAAGAATTGAATTAGAAGATAGTTTGATTTGCAGTATTTCCTTTAGCAGTTTGTAATAAATTCTTTATTTCTTTTACTTCTTCTCCCTCTAATCAGATCTAGTATATTATTAAACTTATTACAACTTTAGAAGAAAGTTACTAAAGAAGAATTATTATAATAGCTAGAGTAATAATCTATGAAATATAGAATATAGTAAATCAAGAATTCTCATGCATATAAAGAATATCACTTACTTTTCAAATTCTTTAGCTATAAGCAATAATCAAGCATTCTTTCTCTTCTTTTCAATTTTGAACTCTTTGAACAGATCTAAGACAGGTTTTTCATCCTGTTCTTGTGCCCGTATAGCCTTAGTTTGCTGTTCTCATCTGTACAGGCATGCTTGGGTTGCACGAGCTCTTGCTCATTGCTTCAGCAGCTGTTCGTTCCTTTTTCTTTCAAGGGCGACAGCGCCCTAGTTCTGGTTCACTGTAAGCAGCAGCAGTATCTGAATACTGAAAATGAGAATGAATCACATAGAATTATCACAGTTGAATAAGCTTGAGATTGTTCTTCTCCAACTAGAGTTGTCTAAACAAGTAACGCCACGTGTTGATTCAGGAAAGCAGCTTGTAAGATGGCAAAGGCTCGCTGACTGCATCTCGCTGGCAACAGAGTTCAGATGTATATATGCAGAAGGCTTACTAGGGACGGTTTCGCTTTTCTAAAGAAGACGCTCCTAGCATTCAATATGCAGGTTACAGAACAAGCTCCGCTAACAAGAAACCAGATGTTGCAGCCCAACATCGGGCAGCGAGCAGGATTATATAACTCAGGATTAGAGTTATAACAGAGTTGAATTATTTGAATCATTGGTGAGCTAAGTGAGCTGGATTATCTGAATCATCAGTAAGCTAGATGAGCTATAATGAAGAGCTGGATATATAAGGATACATTCATTATCATTAGATAGACTATCAGAATATAGCTCTTCAGTTGTCAATCTAAGTATTCATTTGTTATATACTTGAATAGCTTCAAAAGCGAATGAAAGCATTTCTACGGATTACTCGTTACTTGTTCCGTATTCAGTGGATATTACTTTGATACTGCTCTTGTTAGCATAAACTCTTTGTATACTTCAGGATCTTCGGATATTGCAGTGCATCATTACATAGATACTGAATCTTTTCAAAAGCTCTTCTCTACTCAAGAAAGGAAATTAGCTGAAAAGGTTCTGATTCAGGAAAGCTTAAAGCTTTCACCAAGCCATTCAGAATTGAGATTTTTCGCACAGCAGATCCTCCTATCGCAAAAGCGATCGCTTATGCGTTGCACTGGCAATTCCCTGATATTTCTACACACCCCTTCAGTTTTTCGGAAACATCCGGAAAGTGAAAAATCTTTCAATCTGAGACGATAATATACAGCTCCCTCAATAGGTTCCTCTGCCTTCTCGTTGAAGCGATCAATCCTATGATTCGGTATAATTATATGTTCGAACTCGCAACCTTTGAATATTTTTATTTCCCAGTTGAAGCCGGGGCTCTATAATGTGGATCAAGGTCAGTGCCAAGTGCTATAGCTCAGGAGAATGAACGCATCGCGCTCTGAGCGAACCGGGCTCATAACTATCGCAAAAGCGATCGCCTGTGCGTTGCACTGGCACTTCTCTTATATTTCCACACCTCATCAAAGGAGATACTGAACCTCTTGGAAAGAGATGAACCCACGGTTTTTTGAATAGAAATCCAGGGATACAGGTCAGGAAGACTCGCCGGATTGCCTCTGAACGTACCAATGGAGCTACAACAGAGGTAATACGGCTTTGGTTTCGTCTTTTCAATCTTCCTTATATCTAAGCCATCAAGCCAACTAATCGACGGAATATGGATGAAGCTGGCCTTATAGAGGGCTAAGGAGAGAATGGATCAGTCCTCGGAGGCTCCTTTTTCTATTTAATTCAAAGAAAACAGCCTGGATCGAAAGCCTGGACCTCTTTCCTCGAGTGTATCTCTGCTACTGATACTCATCTCTTTTGGTGACTTTCAAAAGGCAAACAGCACAACAACAATGGTTTCCTATCGATTTAAAGCCTTTCGAAGGCTAGCAATTCACTGCTACGCAAACCGGATGGACTAACGATAAAATGGCACTTGAATGGCTTAAAAAGATCTTCATCCCTTATAGCCAGCCAGCAAACCCCTCAGAAGCTGGACTTTTAGTCCTGGATGGCCATGGCAGCCATAAAACTGATGAGTTTATGTAGCAATGCTATCAAAACAACATCCTGTTGATTTACTTGCCTCCTCATACCTCTCACGTCCTTCAACCCCTTGATTTAGGGGTCTTCTCATCTCTCAAGCGAGCATATAGAAAGAAAGTCAGCAATATGAGCCAATGAGGGGATTCAACTATCGCAGGCAAGCGATTATTCCTCAAACATTATCACATGGCTCGCTTGGAAGGCCTTTCAAGCCAGAATATCAGATCTGGATGGAAAGCAATTGGCCTATGGCCCTTGAGATCCTCGAAAGCACTTTTGAGCCCCCTTCTCCTCGAGAACAGTCAACCAGGCATCCAGAGCCAGTCGAATTCAGCCTTAACACAATCAACAGCACATAAACTTCCCCTGGAAGCTTCCTCAAGCCAATCCGTCCTTTTTTCAACTCCTCGAAAGGCCAAACAGCTATATCATCAGCTGCAGGAAAATCGGCACCATCTTTCAACAGATCTAGGCCGCCGCATACTATCTAGAAAGATACAAAAAGTATATGACGAGAGGGACTTCGAGTTGGCCAAGGCATTGGAGGAAAATAAGATGTTGAGGAAGCAGATCGAGGCTCAGAGGCCTAGTAAAAGGAGAAAGGTTGATGTGAGCCCGAATTCGAAGTTCGCAGGGATTGAGGCTATACAGAGAGCTCAAAATGCGGTTAATCGAGATGACGATAGTCTAGATGAAGAGAGCAGCATCGAAGTACCTACTGATGAGGAGGATTGCATCGTGGTGGGTGAATAGGATGAATAAAACTATATAAAATATATATGTGTATATATGTAGTGTGGCTGACCGGGGTGATCGGGAAGGGGGTGCTTTGACTTACTAGCCTTTTCCATTTCCAATCCTCCCGCCTCTCGTCTTCCCGTCTCCAACACGCTCGTCTTCACAAATACTGCATCTTCTTGTCTTGGCATTGGCAAGACCACGATCGCACCGCACCGACGCTTCAGGTTGTAGTCGGTATGGAAGCCAGCGCTGATCGCGCGTCTCCAATACTAATGCCCACCGACCCGCCATGCCTGAGGTATACAAAGGAGGAAGGAGCCACTACATCAAGGAGTTTTCACATGGGCTTTGACGAAACACAGTAGCCAGTACTGGGAGATACTATAGTCCCTTGGATAGGTGTGCCCTCTAGGCCTACGGTCTCCGGGCGTAATAAATCATCATCATCATCAACTTAGAGAGCATACAACAGTTAACAGGAGTGATCAAGGGGATCCTTTGGTATCAAGCTTAAGATGCATATGCGCAGAAAGCCCTGGCACCCCAAGCATGACGACGAAGACAGCTTTGAAGAAAAGAACTACCAGCAGTCTGTCCACTCCATCGCCGGGAGGCAGAGAAAGAACTACTAGATATACACTTGGTACTGTATGAGCCCAGACTGTATGGGCTAAGTGGCGGGAGTGGACAGCTTAGGGAGCTGTTTGGGGTGTTGTAGTGATGGGCAAGAAAATGACTGCAATCTGCTGGCGAAATGGGTTACCGATGGACTGGCGGACACCAATTCTCGCATTTACCCCAGAGCATATAATTACGGATTACTTCTTGGTACATCCATATCTTGTAGGTGCATAACAGTATCCTCTTGGGTATGAAAGCCTAGCTGTAGAGTTCTAGAAGATACTGTTTTTTGTGGCAGTAGACAAGAGAAGTATCTGCCGGTGCGAGAACGCCCTCAAGTGCCCACTTCAGAATATAGTAATCCATCTCAACTGACCTTGAGTATAAGAGTCTCATCTGGGAAGAGTAATAGTTACAAGACCGCCCTCTAGATCATCCTTCAGCTCATCCAGGCATGCCTGTCTGATCTCATCCTTAAGATCCTCCCAGCTATTATCCCCGAAATCCAAGCTACGCTCCACAGAATCCTCGACAACCTCCTCGAGCTCGTGCCGGAGGGTGATGGTGTTATCACGGACGAGAGCCCCGACATGCCGTTCACAGTCCTGTATCTCGTCTCCAATACGCCCCTCGAGCCGCTCTGTGATGCGAACCTCCATCTCTTGCATCTGCGCATCGATGCGGACAAAAGTCTGGTCTATCTGCGCCTGCCGTTGTGTGAAAAATTTATCTATCTGCGCCTGCCGTTGTGTGAGAAATTCACCCATCTGCGCCTTCTGCTGGGCGAGGAACCTTGCCCAGACCCCAACGACAGTTCTTGTTAGTGGCATCGTGTCTCCCATATCTGTGCTATCCTGCTCCCACTCCTGCGCCTGCTCGCGCTCCTGCAGCTGGCGCAGCCGCTTCTTCTCAGGGGATTTGGACTGTGTGGCGGCTAAGGGCGGCGACAGCGCCTGAGTTGCCGTGTATGAAGGGGGAGAGGGGGTCGCGATGCGATGGTTGTCATCGTCATTGTCGTCCTCGCCATCGTCGTCCTGGTCCCCTCGTCTTCTCTTGCTGCTCCCAGTCCTGGGAAGATTGTGGGGTTCGATGACAGTAGCGTGGTGACGCTGGCTCAAAAGTTTCATATATACCTGGTGCTGCGTGAGCCTGCCTTCCATTGCTGCCTGGCAGATTCGCTGTAGTGCTTCCATATCTAAGACGCGGGATTGTTCTAGGTGGATGGCGAAGAGGGTTTGTTGTGTCAGCAGCCCCAGGGCGCGCAGAGGCTCAGCGCTGTGCTTCGAGTGCAGCGGCAGGGCAAGCTTGGAAGAGCCGAAGATGGTGACAGGTCTGCGCAGCAGCAGGCGGAGGCATGTCGTGGGGCTGCCAAAGACGGCGATGTCTCTGGGACTATTTTCCGCAAGGTTTCGCGCTGAATCCTGGGTGAGCAGGATGATATCTGACGGTTCAATCATGATGTACAGATATTCTTCCTTCTCATCCTCCGTCATCTGCTGCTGTCCGAGACGGAGCGAGACCCGAATGAACAGAGCTGCAGTGTACTGCTGTTCATTGCAGAGCATGGTGAACAGAACAGAGGAGGGGTTCGCTCCGACCAGATAGCGAGAGAGTCGAGGCTTGGTTGTATGGTCGCTCCACTCGACCACAGCCGTAGCCTTTTGTACGATAGGCGAGGGCGGAGCTGGAGCAGCCATAATGACAACTAGGTATAGAACATTTGGCATTAGTATGCTTCATTCAGACAGGAAAGCTATGGAGAGAAAGAAACCCCGCCCGCAGGCGCCCACCCTCCCAGGCTTTCTGTTGTGATCAAAGTTAGCCTTGACTTTGGAAACTGGGGGCCTCGCAGCGGCGATGTGATGGGGATTGAAGCTGGCCTCCAGACGGCGGCGCCAAAAGAGAGCTGCCGACTTGGTGACCCAACGCCCAGACGCGTCAGACCCGTTGAATAGCACCGCCTGTCGAAAAACCATGTAGTCTTTTACCTGGGGGCTTCAAGACAACTTGGCGATCGACAAAACGATGCCTAGATCCTCGGCAGACTGTAGCTTGGCGAGAGGCTCCTTGCTGGGCTTTCTTTCTCTGTTGCGTACTGCGCAGTGCGATGCAGTACCTGCAGTCAGTACCTGCAGCGTCGGTCGTCGGAGACACAGCGACGGTCGGTGGCAGAGTCGGCAGCAGTGTCGGTGGCAGTGTTGTTAGCAGAATCGGTGGCAGAATCGGTGGCAGAATCGATGGCAGTGTCGGCGATGCAGCGAGTGGAATAAGGAAGAAAGAAGGATGTAGAAGGCACTCTATGGTGTACTACAAATGGTAAAAGGGAAGATGGTTCTTCAATTTATCTCAAAGCACGCTTGCCAATTGCCTTCTATATAGAAAGGCAATTGGCACTAGTCCCAACTGGGCTAGCGTACCTAGCGACTCACTGCCTTTCTATTGAATGGCCCAGGCCAGTGAGTCAGGGTGGCCAGCCAGGCCTCATTCACTCGAGGCCCCTATGGCCTCTGCCACAAAGGACGCGACTGCAGGAGAATGTGGTGTCAGGGTGTGAGCTGCTCCCAAGCCGCTCTGTCGGCTCTTCCATTCAAAAGGATGACTCCTCCTCCTTTCCTTCTGCTAGACCTGTTGTTTCCCTTTCCCTTATGTACATAATCGATTGGCCTGGGGTGGCTGAGATAACAGTGGGCCTGATGGCCACGCTGGCATCGTACGAGAGCGCTGAAATGAAATGCTCCACTGCATCGAATTTGCTTATGTGATTGGTGTAAAAATACGTATGGGCTGGCCTCTTGTGGGCCAGCGTTACATCGTGCCTGGCGTGCGAGAAGCCGAGACACCAAGACGAGCATCGTGAACCCTCCCTAATTAGGCTTAGTATGAGGATCAAGGGAAGGCCGGGCGACGACTAGTAACTGACAGTCCACTGTGTGGAACGCTGCGCGGGGCTAGTGGCTCACTGGAATTCGCACATTTTCAATAATGATCAGGTTGAGGTTCAAAAGGACCGGCATATGGAAACACAGTATTGAAGAAGAATCTCCATTGACTTCCCCTGTTATGACCCATCCAAGTCACGAAACAGTGGCACGAAAACTACCCGGAAGGCACCAGGCGTGGATGAGTCAGCGATGCTACCCTCCAATCGGCTGCTGGGGCGGCTGGCACCTGTAACGCGCTAAATCGGCCTTCGGGAGAACCAGCCTCCGAAAGCCGTACTCTTTTCCTCTTCAATCAACTTTTGGTCCTCATCCATCGTGAAAATCCTCATTTTTCTGCTGGGACCGTTGCCACTGTTTTAAAACACCCCAGTTACGGCGCCACACCACCCTCATCATCAGCCACAATGCTCATGTCCATTTTTGGCCTGACCACAAGCCAACGTCTTCACCGTCTCAAGCTCAACCTCCGGCCGTCATGGATCGTCGACGAACTGCCTGACGGCGTCTCGCGGGATGGATCTGGCACCAGGATATGCATAAACTTCATGGGGGTGGAGGGGCGGAGCAGGTGATGCGACCCAGAGAGGAGGCACCTGATGAGGGAGGGCTTGGGCGCCCAAGGGGATGACACTCTCACGAAGGCCTTCTCTCTCTTCTGGCCACCCAATTCCTACTCCACGGCCAGCCACCAGGCCACGATGACAGCGGCCGACAAGTCTGGCGGCGGCTCCGATCCCTTTGCCTTCCTCACCCCAGAGGAGGAGGACGAAGACCCCGGGAATGGACTGCCACTCCTTGCCAAGGTGACCGAGGACAAGAGGGCGAGAGTCCTCCGGACGTGGAACAAGTGAGTAGTGCCCACCATACCGTGCGACTCAAGCTGACGGGCCTGCCACAGGAATCTAGCATACTATCAGAAGCGCTTTAACAAGCATATCGACAACTTGGAATTCTGGGTTGGACTGTGCAAGGACGATGCTCTCGTCAAGAAGGAGTGCAAGGCCTTGCTAAAGCTCTACGTCAAGAACTCAGGAGTCCGTCACCGAGCAAGGCGTGAAGATATGCAGGGCGCTCAATAGCTTCTGGAAAGCTCTCATCGCGGCGGCCGACGCCGAGTATCTCTATCCAAAGAGAAAAATGCGACTCGGCTACACTATACTGGATGGTTCTTAAGCGGCCCAAGAACTACTACCCTGGCTGGGCAGACAAGGGACCTGTCACTCAAATCAGTCACGTACGCCTTTCCTGGTCCTTCATTGTGGAGCTGTTTTGCTGACAGCTTTGTTGTCAGTGGGATATATGGCAAGGGCGCCACGGAGATGGGCCTCAGCAGAACGTCAGAGTACGAGACCATCGAGTTGACCGCTCGAGACAGCGGGAGACTCGTGAAGACTTTGTGGCTCCGCGCGGACGACATTCCTGTCCAACAGCCGATTCACCGCGTCATTTTCCACGCGCTTTTTCTTTTCTTTGCGTACGGCGGCTTCAGATAGACAGGGCATGGTCATTGGAAAAGTCAAGTTCCGCGATATACAGATCGAGATTCATCGGAACAAGCTGAAGCAAGATGCGCTGGAACATAAAAAGGGAGAGAAGTTGGTTGCCCCCCGTTCCATTCTTTCATCTGGACCGTCAAACTAATGTTGTCAACAGATACAGTTTTTCCACGACCCTCCTGCCTTACCCATTCTTATGCCTCCTCACACGGCTGATCGCTGTGCTTGGAATCCATCCACCTCAGAGCCTTTGAGGACGACGTCAAGTGGAAGGAAAGCATGTTGGATAAGCTGATCTTGCCCATGTCTTGGCCTGTGTTGATACGCATTTTCCGTCGCTGTCTACTTGTGGGTGGATGCCCCTTCCTTCCCCGTCTCTATGCTATGCGAGTGGGCGTCGGCGCCGGTCTGGATGGTAAGTCCTGACCAACCCATCCCTGATGCAGCCGTGCAGTTTCTGACATTACTCCCCTTCTCAAGGTTGCCTCACAAGCGCTTTGCAAAACTTCATCATGAGTCACTCCACGCATATCTACGAGAACAACTACATGAGCAAGCACGTACGCGTCGATCTCGCAAAGCTCCGCTTTAGCGAGTTTGCTGGGTCCAACGAGGACGGACCTCTTCCAGGTCCTTCGCGACTTGTGCCTCCGGAACGACCCCAACGCACCAATTGATCCCACGCCCCAACAACTGGCCTCCTCCATCATGAAGCGTCGAGACGTCACCAAGCTCCGGAATGCCTTTGAACTGGCCACGAAGAGTTTCGACCCCGAGTTGGCGGAAAAGGATATCACAGTTGGGGAAAGGGACCAAAAGGAGGTCCGCAGGAGAAAGGCCAAACTCGACAAACGCAGACGCCGCCACCTCGAAGAGATGCATGTTCTGGACAGCCGCGAGAAGCACAACGCCCAGGCCGCCAGCTTGAGATTTCGGGGCCTCACAACCACTCATATACGGCGTTCGGAGCCGTCCGGTCGCCGTTCTCACACGACTTTACGGATGGATCTGGTGATATAGGAGTGGACTGAAGAAGTCACGCTAGAGACGATTGCAGAAGACCGTTCAGCCAAGACCATGGACTGGCTGGTGCGGTACATGGCCAACGAACGCATGGAACCTCCTCGACAACTCTCAACCCAGCAGCCGAGGCGGACGCTGAGGGATCGCAGCCCGAGAAGATGGCGAGGTGCTTCTGTGCACTGCAAAGCCCATGCGGCCGTCGTCCATCACGAGGCACCACCACCAAAGCAAGCACGAGCCAATCTTTGAGCACCCGCTGTCCTGTCCGGAGTGTCTCCGCCTAGGACTCGAGCCTACCGTCTCGTCCATGGCGGATCCGAGTGGAGCGACCACGTGGAGAAGAAGGCACACGGCAAAATCCATGCGCCCCGTCTCGTCACGGCGGCATTGCCGGGGAAGCGGGGCCGGCCTGTTTCATCTGCAAGGTCCATCTCCCGCTGAGCGCACCGAAACACTTCAGCCAGCTTCCACACCAGCGAGTTCTCCTCGGGCCGGCTTTTTCCAATGTCCAGAATGCCCACCAGCGGCTGGAGAGGAGCATCATACCGGCGAATCACTCCTCCTGCACCTGGCCTGGCCGAGCACCACGACTACCCAAGCGTCAAGCGCTGTCCCTCTTGTGGGCTGTTTTGCACCGACCGTGGGCTGAGCACGCACATGCGCGGGCACTTCAAGACAAGAGGCCGCAGGACCGGTCGAATACCCTCAGTGTGTTGCACATATGGTAGGAATGGTAGAATAATTAGCTGTGAATACCTTGTGCCATATTGATGCGCATCAGGTCACAGTATTTAATAATACCTAATTCAAGAGATCACGAGACACGTAATGACAAGATATAGAGTCCTAATAAGCGTTTCATTCGCCGCCAGCTGACAGCCACAGCAGCAGAGCTTCACCTGTCGCTTCTTTGAGGTGTAGGGGGGATTTCGTTTGTATTTCATCAACCAATTAGGTGGTTGGAGGCACACTTGCTACAGTGATAAAGGGCCACCTGAGTTTGGACATACTTCTTTCCACGTAATAAGTCAGAGGGGGTAACTTCCGGCCACCCCGGCCATCTACACTCCACATACACACATATATTAAATATATATATTTAACTACCCTATTCACCTACTACGATGCAATCCTCTTCGTCAGTAGGTAATTCGATATCGCTCTCTTCATCCTGACTATCCTCATTCCGATTAACTGAATTTTGAGCCCTCTGTATAGCCTGGATATCTGCAAACCTCGAATTCGGCCTGATATCAACCTTTCTTCTTTTACTAGGCCTGAGAGCCTTAATCTGCCTTTTCAGTGCGTCAATTTCCTCCCGAGCCTTAGCCAGTTCTATGTCCTTCTTTTCCTGAGACTTTTTTATCTTTCTAGCAACTAGACGGCCCTCTGGCTTGTTCAAAACCCGGCCTCGAATCTTCTGCAGCTGATGGTATAGATCCTTAGCCCCTTGAGGAGTTGAAAAATGAGATCCGGCTGGCTTGAGGATGCTTTCTGGGTAAGCTGGGCTGCTGTTGAAGGTTCTGAGCCTGAATTCGGCTGGGTCTGAGGGCGTTGAGAAGTATTCTCAAGGAGAAGAGGGCTCGAAAGCGGTTTAGCCAGTCTAACTGGCCATAGACCAGTTGCTTTCCATCCAGATCTGATATTCTGGCTAGAAAGGCCTTCCAGGCGAGCCAGACGATAGTTCTCGAGGAATAACTGCTTGCCTAAGACTGTTGAATCCACCTATTGGCCTAGAAGACTGACTTTCTTTCTATATGCTCTCTTGAGAGATAAGAAGATCCTTAGATCAAGGGGTTAAAGCACATGCGAGGTATAAGGAGGCAAATAAAGCAACAGAATATTGTTTCAAAGGCATTGCCACATAAATTCCTCAGTTGTATAGCTGCTATGGCCATCCAGGACCAACAGCCTTGCTTCTGAGGGGTTTGCTGGCTGGCTGCCTAGGATGAAGATCTTTTCCAGCTATTCAAGTGCCATAGCATTATTAGTCTATCCATTTCTTGTTGTTGTGAATTGTTAGCCCTCGAAAAGCTCCAAGCGAGTAGAAAACTATTGTTATTGTATAGTTAAGCCCTTGAAAATGACCAGGGGAAAGAGGTGGGCGCCTGTGGCAGAGATATACTCGAGGAAAAAGGTCCAGGCTTTCGATCCAGGCTCTTTTTTCTGGATTGAACATGAAGAAGAGCTTCCAAGGACTAATTCATTCTCTCCTTGGCCCTCTATTATCCCAGCCTCGTCCATATTCCATCGATTAGCTGGCTTGATGGCTTGAATCTCAGGAAGCTCGAAAAGACGAAACCAAGGCCGTATTACCTCTGTTGTAGCTCCGCTGGTTCGAGCTGAGGCAGTCTTTCGAGTCTTTCGGACCTTTATCTCTGGATGTCTCTTCAAAAAAGCCTGAGTCTATTTCTTTCTTATGGCCTGAGGATCGGTTTGGACCTCGAGGATCCGTTGAGCAAAACAAGCCTAAGTTCTGAAGAGCTCGGTGGAAGCCTTAGGGCTTCCTGAATGCGAATCCATTTAGCCAATTCCTTTTTCTAGCTAATAGAAAGCCTTTGCTTATCTGAATAAGCTGTTTTGTGCGATTCTCCTCCTGCCAGGCGATGCTGAAGAGTGGCTCTCGGAATGCCCTATTCTTTTGAGGCCTGTCGCTGTGTTATAGCTGCCCTGACAGCCTCGATGGCCTGGACCAGCTCAGCTTCGGAATTGTGCTTCATAGCGATGATATCTACGTCCTGTGAAAGGATGAAGTTATTCGGGATGGAATTGGTTGAGAGAAGCTGTCGGAATAAAGGCATTGGTCTCATGTGGGTGAAAGGGCCTTTCAGGCCCCTGACACCAGAGCCCTTTCACTAGATTTCGGGCTAGCCGGCCCTTTGTTGTACTTTTCCTATAGAAACGGATGCACCAGTACCTCTGGCCCTAGAATAGTTAGAAGGATTAGTGCAAGGAAACGATGACCTGGCTTTTCATCTATTCTTCACCCTGATGAGTTCACTGCCCCACATTTGACAGGTTATGAGCCCGGCTTAGCTCAAGCTATACATACGTTTCCTCACATACTATCGCAAGCCTCGCCGGCGCGGCGCCGAGTCCCCGGACAGCATGGATCCAGAGCAGGCTGAGGGTGTGATCATGAGGTCTGCTGCAGCGAAAGCCAAGGCCAGAGCTGAGGCTATGATAGGCCCAGCTATCAAGAATGAAGATGTTAACTGGACTGAGATCCAGCTGGATAAGATCCAGATATTGATAGCAACGAACTATTGCATCTAGAAGATTACAGTAGCTAGCATAATAGATCTGGCTAGCATTCTACAAGCTGAGAATGCAGTTCTTATGCTTAAGGCTGATTAGCGCCTGGATGTGAAGCTCAGGAAGACAATCTCAACGGATATTCTGAAGCAATTCGCTAATATCACCTCTGATATGAAGCTTTAGCAGGCCTTGCTGGATATATATAGCACTACAGGCCCTACTAGCTAGATGTTCTGATTCTGCAAGCTGATAAATCTGAAGCTCAAAAACGATTCTATTGAGTATTGCTCAAAGTTCAGAAGCTTCGTTGCTGATATCTACGAAGCAAATATGCTATTTGCAAGCATTCTTGCATGCTCGATGTTTGTACAAAGCGTTTTCCAAGCTCGTTCTGAGTAGGCAGCACGTGCTAGAACAATTCTCAGAACAACTCTCTCTACCTTCCTATCAGATCTAATTAGCAATCTTACTAACGAGTTCGTGGTATAAGAGGCTGGAAAGAGCGGAGGCAAGGAGGGGAAGAAGGTGATGAATTCTATCTCAGGCTCGAAGATATAAGATAGCTGGAAGAAGGATGTAGAATGCTATAACTGTGGCAAAAAGAGCTACATCAAGAGGAAGTGCTGGAAAAAGAGCGGAGGCGCTTACAATCCAGATAATAGCAATAGTAAGGGAGAGAAGAGAAGGAAAAGCGATCAAAACAAGGAAGGAGGAGCGTTTCAGGCATTGTTTGAACAGAGCGCTCAAACTAGCAACCAGGCTGCATCTTCTTATCTGTTCAACTATTCTATTGGAAGCTTAATAAGCTGTGCTGTAAGCGTATTAATTCCTGAGGGCTTCTAGCAGTGCATCTGCGAGGCTCTGAATTGCTATCTCGAGGCTATTAATAGACCTGCTGAAGGAGATGGTATGCTTAGCTCTGAGATAGTGTTATGACTCATTCAACATGCAGGTCGCGGAACAGGCCCACCAAACAAGAAACCAGGTATCACAACTCAACATCGGATAACCAACAGTGATTATATAATCCAGAGCAGGGATTATAACAGGGATGAATCATTAGATCATTGAGTAATCCAATGAGCCTGGATCACTTGGATCGCTGATGATCCAAGATGAGCTACAATGAAGAGCTGAATATATAGTTATACATCCATTATCATTAGATAGATCATTATATATAGCTCTTCAGTTATCAATCTAAGTATCAGATTACTCTTCTACTCTAATAGCTCCAAAAGCAGTGAATACTTATACAATTATCTCAGTTGTATTTCTGTATTCAAGGCTTATACTTGATACTGCTTTTATTAGCATAAACTCTTTGTATACTTTGGAATCTCCGGATTATTGCAGTGCTTATTACATTTTAATAACTCTTGTTTAAGAATAGTTCAGTATTACTCTTTGAGTAATACGGAATATAATAGCTTTTCAAGAATCCTCTTCGTTCTTATGCATTCCTACTCAGAAAGAACTAGTTAATCAGATATATCAGCTTACTCAGTATATTCAGAATCTGCATAATCAGCAACAAGCTCAAAATGCTACTATTGCTAATTAGTAAGCTTAGCTGAAATAGCAAGCTTAATAAGCTCAGCAGATGCAGCTCATTTCTATAATTACTAATAATGCTAGAAAAGCATATAAGATAAATAAGCTTGCTATATATAATAGCAATCAAAGGATACTGCATAAATTTCTTATTTACTGCAGAGCATACTTCTTGCATTATATAATCCAATTTACTGAGAAATCTGAGAAGATTATTCTTGTAGAAACTTATTTTAAGAAGAATGCTCTTATCTAGTATAAGTTTTCTCTATGCAATTACTTGGAATACTAAGATAATTCTGATATATATATCCAGAGTACTAAGAATATATTCAATTCCTTTGCAGATTTCAAGAAAGCTGTCAGGTGGAAAGGTTGCAAAGGCAATGTAGCGAGGTCTTTTCTCTCTTTCAGGGGCATACAACCAGAATAACATTGAGGCCTAAGGAGCTAAGTTCTGCTCAGCAGTGCTGACGTGGCTAGAAAGCCGCTTTATAGCCGCATATTGCTTAGTCATCCGTAATCCAGCTGGCTTAGCTGGCTCTGAGCCTTGCTGGCACAATCGGCCCTGACACCCTGCGCCTCGCAGCACTTTTCTTCTTCAGTTGCTTGCCTTTTTGAACAGCAGGGGATTTGTTCTGCTTAGCGCTTCTATTCCTGGTCCTTTCCCTCAGAGGCTCCTCATTCGTTATCTCCGACTCATCTTCAAAGTTACTATCACTATCATCATCCTCTTTATTATCATCATTATCCTGATTATCATTCCCTCCTTGCTGCGTCTTCATTCGCTTAGTTTTCTTCGGCAGCTCCTGATCTACTGCCTCCGAATCGCTTTCGTAAAGCTTCGCACGAGAAGCCTTACGCTTCGCAACCTAGCCTGAAGCTGAGTCTGAAACTTCTTAGAGTATTAGCAAACCAATACTACAATAACGAGGAATGATTCTAAGCTCTAGCAAGCATGTCTAACAATCTATAGCTGCTGAACTACGAAACTTATTCTCAGCATCGAATCGGTTCTTCTCGTGAATCATACGCTTCCAGAAGATTATAAGCGAGTGAAGCTGCATTCTGATCTTCAGGAAAACGCGGAGATCCTTCTCTAGAAGCTTCTTAATAGCAGCTTTCATATCAGCTAGTGATATGTTGAGTGCATTGTTGATGATATCGATTTCGATGAGTATAAAAATTTGTTAATCAGAGTCTTCAGCACTCTTCTTAACTCAGCATTCTCGGAGATCGGAAGAATTGTTGCAATTCAGCCTCATTCCGTAGTCCCAAGTCAATGTGAGAGGAATCTTCGCGTTGGTAGGATAGCGATTAGAGAACATGTTGTATAAGTGTTGTATTAGTTATATTTAATAAAGTTTAGGTGAATAGAAATAAGATATGAGGGAAAAAGCAATCAAAAGAAAACTAAAAGAAAATATAGTATTATTCCAGAATCTTTCTTAAATATCTGAAAGAATAAACAGTCTCAGTATATATTGATAGTACTTGGTATTAGTTTTGAAATAAGCGTGTTCTAATATCAGATTAAGTATGATCAAATTGAAGCATTATACAGAGATAATAATAATCAAATTGAACTAATTTAGCAGCTGATGCATATAGAAACGCTAAATCAACAAATCAATCATCTTATAAGAATAACAGTACAGCATCTCTGATTATTAATTCAGGCGCTTGTTAGCTCAATAATATTCCTATACTATTACATTCTTGCATCTCAAATGTAATGAGCACTGCAGTAATCCGAAGATTCCAAAGTACACAGAGAGTTTATGCTAACAAGAGCGATGCCAAGTATAAGCCTTGAATACGGAAATACAACTGGGTAACTGTGCAAGTGTTCACTGCCTTTGGGGCTATCAGAGTAGGAGAGTAATCTGATACTTAGATTGACGACTGAAGAGCTATGTCCTGATGGTCTATCTAGTGGTACTGGACGTGTCCTTATATATTCAGCTCTTCAGTCCTGATTATCTTGACTATGTTCCGATTCCTCATAGTCGTTTCCTGAATCTGTCGACTATGTCCATAGCCAACATAGTCGCGCCAGTAACCCTAACCCTGGGTTACATAATCCTTATTGGCTGTCTTGATGTTGAGTCATGACACCTGGTCCTTCTGTGAGCTGGGCGTGATTCATGACCTGCATGTTGGATGGGTCATAACATCAAAGCTGAATAGAGTGCTCTAGATTCCTTCTCTTTATCCATGATTGTATAAGAGCATTTCTTTGATATTTATATGAACAAAATTATATTGCTTAATAGATTGATCAATTTGCTCTTGCAATGTAATTATGCTATCGAAGTCGAAAATCTTGAGCCTTAGGAGGTATAGCAATCGCAAGGGAACGATGCTGGTATATTCCAAGTAATTAAAGCTCAGGCTAAGATGCTGGACGCCGGACTTCGAGTGTTTCCATGTAGAGATAAGTGATGTATTCCAGTGTTTGATTCAGAGGGAAAGGCTGGACTCTGCTAGCAATATCGAGCTTGATGAATCGTGGAAAATGCTGAAGAATGGGAAGAATTCGGAAGAGCAAACTGTCTACATTTGCGCTATGCATTGAGCTGAGCTATATCTTCTTAACCAAAGTAGATAGTTGCCACTGTCTCTTCGGGCGCTATGCTAACTTCTTCATTGATATGATGAACAGTATTGTAAGATTTGACAGTAACTGTAGCAGGAGGGAAAATTAATAGTAATTCAATGATGCTGATCTCTTGCTCTTCTGAGAGATGAACTCATGGTAGATATCGTAAGCTTTATTAGTATCAACGCTTAACAAGTTTGCTCACTTCTCCTTTCCGTTAAATAGCAGTGAATGCACCTCAAACTCTTCCCTCGAGCAGATAAGCCATTTACCGTGGTAAATTATTAATCGTCTTATATATGCTTCAGTATGTGGTGACTGTCGAAGAAATGCAATGAATGCTGCCAATTCTTCAGACATATTCAATATAGCGAAGTATTGAGCGATAAGGGGAAATGCAAGGCCAGCCCAGTAATAGCAGATAAGCCTGAATGACCATAAGTCTCGAATGGAGCTCAACTCCAATGCAATGGATGCTAGCACCTTATCAGGGATGTAATGCATTGTTGCTTGGAGAAGAGAGGATGAGCAAAGAGATTGCAACTCTTAAGCTGGTTCAAGATAGAATATCTAAAACACGAATACAAAAGAAGAAAGAAAGAAATATTTTGTAAACGAAGATTGCGAATAGATATCTAAAAAACAGCATGCCTGAAGCGACTTTAAATATTATCTTCTGGCCTGCTAAGCGCCAACTGATCTTCTGAACTTAAAATTGAGTAGAATAGCAGCATACAACATTCAGCAGTTTCCATGCATTACCTTTTCCTTAGTTGCCAGAGATAAACTACCATTCCAGGAAGCCCGTATTCACGATATGCTTGTTATGCGCCCCTTGCGAAACTTGAGAGTCTTCTAATACAATATTAACAGATGCCTGAAACTGTTCATGCCTTTCGTCAGTAAAGCTGAGGCGAACATGAATGCAAGCTAACCAAACTGCGATCATATTTCGGCAGCGCCGCAACCGATGACTACGGTTCCGGTAACACAGATGCAGCTCCGAATGAGAGATGATAAGCAGGAGCGGCTTCTGCCAAATTTCAACAAACAACGTCGGGCGCTTTTCTCTAAAGCCAAACAGCTTTTTCGCATACACCAGGCAGAAGTTTATGTGATGGTGCGGAAAGACCAGAAGTACTATGTCTTGTCTTCCAGCGAGGACTCTGCCTGGCCTCCGGTAGCAGCAACAGATGTGAATGCCCAGGTCTGCTTTTGCACAAATCGATGAAACAGCACTCAGCTGGTTGCTGGAAGGATGAGACCTCAGTTGTGAACGTGATAAGGCAAGGTTGGTAGGGATATTGCGTTGTTGGTAGTCTGATGATGGACCTTGTGAATAAATGGAAGCAGTCGCAAGCCAGGCGTACGAGAGCTAAGCGTACTGTCCAGTCCTCCGCCGGTATACGGAAGAACAGACGGTCTCGGAAGCATCTATAGATGGAAGATTTATTCAACAAGTAGAGCTCTTTTTCGTATATACCAATACCTACCAACGTTCTCTGTCTGGGCTGTAAAAGCAGTAGTTTCGCCACCAGGTAACCCTAGCAGCACAAAGGACAGTAGTCCTGGCAGGCAGCTAACTCTGCCGGCCTCTGCCACCTGCCGGCCAACCGTCCTTGTCGACATTGTTCGAGAGGAAAAGGAAGGATACGACCGAAGCAAAAAAAAAAAAAAAAAACGGTAGGAGAGAAGACTAGCTAAATGAAAAACCGCCCAGCGGCCCGTCGTCGATTCTGCTCAGTGGCCCGCAAGTTAACAATGCGATGTACGATTTCGTCTGTAAGCAGTATCAGCTCCTTATTATGGTTGGTTGTTCCCCTCTGTAGCACCTCTGCAGACTCCAAGTCCTTTACTACCACCTTGTTACCATCCCAAGAGGAAGTGATGCATTCTAGGTCTGCCGTGATAGATACCGTACTCAGTCAGCTGATCGTAAAGCTTTTGAAGCCCTTGTCTCAGATCCGGATGGATAGAGCCCGCATGGATATTTGGATGCTGTAAGTCCTCAAGTGGCAGTTCCTTAAGCAGCTTGCCCTCAACGTCTTGGAGGACAAGTGCTGGGATACTATCACAGATAGCCTTGCCGAAGCAGCGGGGGATGCAATCGCCTTGAAGTGGCCTTAGCCGCTCGAATATATGCATCTCATAGTCAACGCCGGTCCCCTCTTTGATTATAGTCGAAGGCAGCAGCCATTCGGGAAACGTCTGTTCCAGGTAGCTAGCACTGTATGCCAGCTGGCAGCCAACGCAGGATTCGGGCTAGCATTGATGTGGCCCAATACTTGGGGACCTCAAGCTGAAAGTAGGGCCTGTCCCTATGGATTCGCTTCGCTCTTGCTAAGAACGTACGGCTGCCTAACCGCACCTTCTGAAAATCATTAGTAAAACCGCACAGCTTCTGGATTAGAGTCCTAGAGTGATCAACCTTAATGGTATTCATTTCTGCGGGAATTGCAATCCCTTCTCGCCATGCAGGCAAAGGCAAAATGATAAGAGGGTTAAAGGTGGGCGTGCTATGTTCCCCGTACCCTCCCAGGACCTTATTTCCCCTCCCTTCTGCCGACGGCTACGACTTTACCGATAGTTGGCAGGGTATTATCAAACGACGGCCCCTGATATGCCCGCCTGTTCTTGACATATGGGAATAGGGTTAAGGGTGTTATAGGACGGCTGCTGCCGCGGCCGGCTTCTCTTCGGATTCTGGTCTCTGATTGCTTTCCGTGATTAGACTAGCTGCATTCCTGATTAGTTGAGCTGCAAACAAAAACCATCGTAACGATTCGCGAGAATGTCAGCAAGCATTGCACACGATCCAGGAGTGGGACTGTATAACTCAGAGACGTGCGGCTTCTGAGGTTATAGCATTGTTTTCGAGAGCCGAATACACAAAGGTGGATGCTCGAGCTGCCATATTTAGGAAAAGAAGCAGAAGTATGTGATCAACGCTGCTCAAAGCCAGGCAGGGGCACTAACGCGATGGAAACAGAATCTAGCAACATAGCCGAGAGGGAGCAGGACGAGGCCACCCCGGACGAGGCCACCCCGGACGGGGCCGGTGGTGCTAGCCAGACGAACATACCGGACAATGCCAATGTAGACCACGATACTGACATACTGGATGATGCTGACATAATGCACAACGCCGATGTGATGCACGATGCTGATGCCGACGCCGACATAGTGCACGACGCCGACGTAATGCACAACGCCAACGTGCTACACGATGCCCAAATCAGCAAGGTCGACAGTAATACATACGTTACAGCGCTTCTCGATACAAATACAACCTTCCCCAGGCACAGCGTTTTACATTCTTCATACTCCGATCCACCTTCCTTGCCCTTCGAAGGTCACAGCACGGTATCCCCAGAAGTTTTCTCAGCCCAATTCCGCGACGAATCCTACAACATGGAGCTAGCATCAACGGCTTTAGCAAGTGCTAATACGATGCTGAGACATACCGAAGAAGGCTGGGACTTTTCGGGTATTAACCTTCAGAAATTGCTCCGGATATCAGTCTCTCTTGGGAATATTGTTGAAAAGCATGTTAAGGAAGGCTCTACAGTAGCTCAGGTCGAACTAACAGCGCCATCAATGAAGACCGATGGATATTACTGCTTGAAAATCACTCTTGCAAATGCATCAGTTAATCAGATAGTCCAGCAAATTCACAAACTTGATATCCGCGATCACGGCACAAGCTGATACCTCCATCATATGGATACGAAGATCAAGTTAGGAGCCGACTTGGTATTGCAAGATGGTGAGAATCAGGCACTGATAGAGATATTAGGGCACCAGTTGCACGGCGCATTTGCCCTTGCCATATCACGAGATAGCGCTCGGGACAATTCTGGTTACTTCAAGATGGTTATTCCCTATAATACTGCAAGGCAAGCTACTCTTGAAATATTACTAGAATTCAAGCCAGATGCTCAGTTAGCAGAGATGTTTTTCCTTTGATAAATCGCGAAATCACTCTATTTAATTCATACTTTCGAAGAATACAATCTAGTTGCCCCTACTTAGTTTCTGCAGAGGAGATTCTCAGGCGCTACCGTAAGATCCATATACCACTTATCGACGCTTGGTCACTACCCAGATCACCGAGTGCACTAATGTCCAAGTCTGCGCCATATTGCAGCAGTAAGTCAGCCATTTCCGTATTGCTTCGCTAGAGCGCAAGCTGCACTGCAGATCTTCCCAATTCCATCTTTACATGCACATCGGCACCATGTTTTAGAAGGACGCAAGCAGCCTCATAGTTGGTCCGAAAGGACTGCAGTGGCTAGTGGTGTCTCCAGAAACCTGTTCTGAAAAGTCGAGATGCAGGTCCGCGGGTGTCTTGAGCAGGAGGACGTCATTATCGGATTGCATACCCGCGACAGTGTGCAAGACTGTTTGTCCAAGGCGATCGAGTGGAAGAGGGTCCACGCCGTTGTCCAGCAGCTGTGTAACCACAGCCACCTTATCCTCTGCAGCAAAGCGGGACGATGGTGTCCGCAAGACGAAGAAGAGAAGAGGATCGCCGCTGGCATTAGGGATAGAGATATTGAAGTCTATATGCCGACTGGTCAATAAGATATCGATCATATGCACACCTTGAAGACAAGCCTCGTAGAGAACCCAGCGGTGGATCTGTGTAAGGCCAATGCTCATGCGGAGGAGGCTGCGCACTTGTTCCAGCTCCCCGCCCCAGGATGGCCGTGGCAAGAAAAGTGGACTCGTACTCCTCCGTACGCGGATCGGGCCAGAGGGTAGACGCGGCCGAAGGAGACATAGGAGAGGACGGAACTTGATAGTGAGGATGCCATAATAGGATGGAGGGCGGTGTCCACCTGATCAAACCTCCATGAGCGTGCTGCTCGGACTTGCTTTTAATAGCACGCGCTTCCTCGCTTGATTCCAGGCGCGCGCTTCTGGATTCCCAGAAACTAGAAGTTATATCCGAGCGAGTGAGCCTCGGATCACACTCAGCCCCGCTCAAAAAGATCCCGTACAGGTTCCGAGGTACGTACTCATCCACACAAGGGTCGTTCGCGGCTATCTATACACTCCTTATTCGGTCCGAGACAGAAGGGCTTCGCAATCAGTCAAGCTTGAATCGTTGAGAGATGCGCAATGATTGTGCACGAGCTTGAGGTTTCTCTGATTCCCATCCTTGTCGGACTGCAAAAGCTAGCAGATATGCCCGTTCCTGAGGCGGTCGCACCTCTCTTGGGAGTGCTTGGCCCGATCGGGCTCCAATACTCTTCCATCCGTGCTTTCATACTACCCCATACGGATTCCGCAATCGGACTTACTATACCATTCGGGTCCCTTTGGCAGCTCCAGGAGCAGGTGATGAAAAGGTTTAGACTGAGGCTCTGAGACGTATACCGGTGAGCTTGTTACTGCGTTAATATACGGTTTGCCTACTCCCCTCCCCTTTAGTTTCCTCAGCTTTTTAAGGTTCGGCTTGGCTAGGCTAGGAAGACCGCCCCACGAAATCCCGTAGTCAATACAGGAAACGGTAAAGCGCCTGATATATTCCTTCTCGTTCAGCGAGAGCAGCTGAATTACCATCTTGCCCCTCATAGCCAAAGCTCCCTCAACCTTAGCTCTAACCTTACGGAAACGGCCCTTTGAATCTATAGTATCGGGATCGCGAAACTTGATATAGATACTTGCATTGTCGTCCTCATCCGAGGAAGAGCTATTTTCCGAGTCGCGTAGATCATCTGAATCATCTGAATCTCGAGCTTCCATATCAGGCATTGAGAAATTTTCCGACATAATATCCTCATTGTTCAGCTGTAGGTCGTCGCTCTCGTGCTTTCCGCTTACTTAGTCCGAAATTTTCTCTAATAATCAAGCTCGAAAATTTGCTGCTGAGGCCTTCTCTTTCTCCTTCCTTGCGGACTTCCCTGCGGACTTCTCTATACGGCCGGCGCTCGTTTTTTCAAGAGATTTGCGTCCCATGCGCTCTTCCCAGCTTATCTCATACCCTACTTCACTTCCACTTTCGTTATCATTGTTCTCAATTTTGACACTTTTGCTCCTGCCTACGTTGTGATGTTCTTTCTGATCCTCTGCTTCCCCGGGTGCCCATCGGCTTTTGCTTAGCTCCCCTGTAGGATTTGGCGATATTGGTCTTCGGAGCCCGCTCGTTACGCTCCCAAAGAAACCTACTCGCAAGTGATGAAGAAGGAGGATCCTCTGGCTGATGGACTAGCGCCGATGCTGCTCTGCTGCCGCTGCTCGTGCCTGGGGTTGTATCTTGGCTGTATGATTCTGTAGCGCCTCTCGTAGAACGTTTAGAAACCGGCTTGGCATGATCGCCGTGCTGATATTCTGTCTCAGCACTGGTAGATCCCGGCTCATCTGTTTCCGGGTGAGATGATGGGCGCAGGAGCTCATTTTGGTCCGGAGTCTTTGCCGCTGGCTTTGGGCTACGGCGTCCATACTGGAGAATATTACTCTCACTTATGGATGAATCAATCTCTTGTCCTATGGAAGCCATAGTAGAACCTGTCTTCGAAGAAGCTTTGTATCGATATCCAGCTAAGCATGGCCGACCTAAGAGTAACTGACCCGAGACTTATATATGCCGAGCTAATAGTAGTCCTAAGATCTAGCAACCCTGAAATAGGTTCGAGATAGTTCGAACCCAGAAGCTCCTGCCGATGGCATGTATACCTCTGCGTCCCAGTCTTGAGAAGGTAGTACCTCTTGCAAAATATCCAACCATGGAGCCACCTTACTTCTACGCAATCGGAATCGGAAGCGTCGCTGCTCTTCTCATATTGAAGAGATGCTATCAGAGGCTACAAGCTGTCGGCAGGTGGGCTGTACGATACGTGAGACGACCGGTCCTCGTAACTCGAGACCAATGGAGCTCCCTCGGTATGACTACATTGCAAGCAGGCAGTCTGGTCGATAGCCATCAACCACTCTGCGAAGCTTACGCAAGCAATTGTAAACCCTTGTTTGTACGATATATATTATATTCGTAGAAGAGTCTGAAGAGGATGACGCTAAGAATGAGGAAGCGATATTAAGGAAGATGGTGCGCAAGCAAAATATCAAGATTTCAAAGCGTAATCCGTATCAAAAGAGAGTTCGATTCTTACTGCCACCGGATAATGCTTAGATATTTATACATAAAAATACGGAGCTCTACACTTCAATAGCGAGTTTCACTATATTATCCTGTTTCAATATAGAAATTTGATATTTATTACGACGCATAATTGAAGCGATTATTATCATCGAATTTTCATATCTTGTATCGCTAATATTTGATAGCCATATCAGTATGTTCAAGCAGTCTAGCCTTAACCCTAACAGCATTTTGCTCAGCTGTTGATAGGTGGTGTTGGCTGGATGTTCTAGCGGATGGTCCGCCGGTCCGTGGCCCCCCCCTGATACTTGCTTGTAATGGTTTGAATTGTTTCTTATTATTGTTCTATTTTGCATTAAATTAATTTTAGCTAAAATGCAATAAATATGAGGTATTGGCGCAAACATTGCCTGTCCAATGGATTCGTTGCCTGCTTGAAAGATAAATCGATTGAATTGACAGAGCTGGGCCTCCATTTCATCCCAACTTCTCCATTACTTTCAAATCAGTCGTTCTATTCCCAATCGCGAATCTCGTTTCTTGAAGCTTTTCAAGGGTGCAGGGACAATGACTGAAAGTCCAAAAGCCCGTGTATAGCATGGACCTGATCCCAAAACTAACCTCGCTCTCTCTATAGACTGAATATAAACTTGTAATAGTCTTGAATTGCCCGACCAGACCGGATATCGGCCCGGGTACTAGGAGTACAAAGATACGCAGTGCGTTCGGCTTCATCACCCCGGTATCCGATACAGGCATTATACTTGTCTAATCTGTCCAAGATTTGAGCTAAATACGGACCGGGACGGAGTCGACATCTCCACAGCTAAGGTAATGACACTGGGCAGCTCTGATATATCTGGTGCAGCAGGCCTCAGGACATGAAAGGTACAGCAAGTAGGCGGGCCGCGGGATCGTACGGAGAGGAGGGCGACCGCGCTTCAGGGACGTCTCTCGGAAGGGCGCGCTATCGAAGGAGTACCGTACGTATGACAAGTGAGGTTGACGCATGAGAAGTACCTTTCAAAGCAAGCAAGCGGCCTTTTTAGGCAAGCGGCTTGCAAGTGAACAAGCAAGTGGTCGTTCTCCTATTGTGGGTCCTCATAGGCTCAGTTTGAAGCTATCGTGACCTACTCTAGATGCAACATTGCTGCAAATATTGGTGTTGCAGCCATAAGCCCCCGCCTCTTCGGCTCGCATTTCTGTATCTAGCTATTTCTCCGCTGGCAGGCAAGCTTTTCTGTACATTGATCCTCGTATCTAGCACTCTCGCGTCAAGAAACCTCGTCGCGTCTGAACCTCGCGCTCCTCCAAACAAGGAAACTATCATTATCTACGGTGCCGGCTGGACTACGCACTCCCGTTTTTGTTACTATCACTATATAGCAGCAGGTAAATATATCCACCACTGAAGCTATCGAGCCTTTCTAATCCGGAAAGGCTACCAAGTGGCTAAGCGACTAAGCTAAAGCAAGTGGCAAGGTAATGGAAGACAGTCAAGCGGGTCAAATTGTTAGCAAGCCAAATGCTAGGCTACCGCTTGACTTGACTTGACTTGCGTGGAACGCTGCTTTCCCTTGAAGTGTGAAGTAGAAAATCAACGTTTGAGAATTCCGAAAATTGAGCACCGAGAATATAGACCCCTATAACTTCTTCAGGCAGGTATATAACGAACAAGATCAATACGTATAATATATACTACAGCTAAAACGAACAGCAGAAGGACAACATTTATTTTCCAGCAAACTATGGCTTCCTTATATGATTCGGAAGACTCGAATACGCTGATCGGCTCGCCAGACTCCTGGACGTCTGCATGCTCTGATTACAGCATCATTGAGAACAGCTTCTTTCACATTGTCAGGAGTGGCGCTCCCGCCAAGGCGCCTTCGGAGCGCTAGCAGATCACGTGCCACTCTCTCTTACATAGCCAGCGTGTCGCCTTCTCAATTCTGTTCCTGCACTCAGCAAGAATTAGTCTTGATACAATCAGAAACCTACCAGCCACCTCTTCAAGCCTGTCTCCTGCTTATGTTATTGTGATTTCGCCTAGCTTCCGTACCAGGTGTTCTGACAGTATCTCTGCTACAGGCACCTATCTTTCTCCTCTAGTGATCTTCAAGAGCTAAACAGTATAACAGCAGTGGTTTTCTCTCTTCTTGGAGTCATTTGAGGGCTAGCAGTTTACAGCTACGAGCAATGGATGAACTGATAATGCTGTAGCTCTTGAATGGCTGAAAAAGATCTTCATTCCAGGCAGCAAGCCAGCAGACCCCTCAGAGGCTCGACTATTAGTCCTGGATGGCCACAGCAGCCATACAACTAATGAGTTTATGTGGCAATGCTATCAAAACAATATCCTGTTGATTTACTTGCCTCCTCATACCTCTCACATACTTCAGCCCCTTGATCTAGAAGTCTTCTCGTCTCTCAAGAGAGCGTACAGGCGAAAAGTCAGTTCTATAAGCCAGTGGGGGGATTCAACAGTCTTTGGCAAGCGAATATTCCTCGAGACCTATCGTCAGGCTCGCTTGGAAGGCCTTTCGAGCCAGAATATCAAGTCTGGATGAAATGCTTCAGGCTTATAGCCTGTTAGACCTTCCAAGCTACTCCTCAGCCCTCTTCTCCTTGAGAACACCTCTCAGTTCATCCAGACTCAGGCAAATTCAAAGTTAACAGCATCAAAAGCAGCCCAGAATACCCTGAAAGCCTCCTCAGGCCAGACAGTTATCTTTTCAACGCTTCGCAAAGCTCGAGATATATATCATCAATTACAGCAGAATCAGCACCAGCTTTCATCTTTGCCAGTACAATATATACTTTTCAGGAAGATATGCAAAGCATTCAGTGAGAGGAATGTTGAACTAGCTAGAGCTCTGGAAAAGAATGAGATACTGGAAAAGCAGGCTGAGGCTAGAAGGCCAACTAAAAGAAGGAAGGTAGATACAAGCCCAAATTCGAGGTTTGCAGATATTGAGGCTATACAGAAGGCTCAAAATGCAGTCAACAGGAATGATGATAGTCTAAATGAAGAGAGCGATGCCGAATTACCTACTGATGAGGAGGACTGTATCGTGGTAGCTGATTAGGAAGAGAAATGTATATAAATCAATGTATATATATATATGCGATGTAGCTGGCCAGGGGTGTTCACAAGGGGGGGGTGTTCACAAGGGGGTGCTTCGACTTACTGCTTGCTTGCTGTTTGCTCTAGCTTAGCAACTCGAATGCTCTGAATCTCTTCTGAATGCTTCTTGCATGCTGCTTGCATACTGCTTGCTTGCTGTTTGCTCTAGCTTAGCAACTCGAATGCTCTGAATCTCTTCTGAATACTTCTTGCATGCTGCTTGCACACTGCTTGCTTGCTATCTTCAAAGCTTGAAAGTTCGAAAATTGAAGGCTTGAAGGTTAAAGGCTCGAAGGTTAAAGGCTTGAAGATTAAAGGCTCGAAGGTTAAAGGCTCGAAGGTTAAAAGCTCGAAGATCAAAGGCTCGAAGGTTAAAGGCTCGAAAGTTTGAAAAGAATAGTAGTCTGATCGTTTGCTCTGCTCCTGCTTAGTATTAGCGCTGCTCCTAGGAAAAAAAAAGATAGAAAGCCTTGCTGAATTGCTTCCTTTAAAAGAGCTAGGCTTCAAACTGTTAGGTGGAAAGGTTGCAAAGGCAATGTGGCGAGGTCTTTTCTCTCTTTCAAGAGCATACAACCAGAAATGACATTGAGGCCTAAGGAACTAAGTTCTGCTCAGCAGTGCTGCTTTATACTTAGCTGCATATCGCTTAGTCATCTGTAACCCAGCTGGCCTGGCTGGCCCTGAGCCTTGCTGGCACAATTGGTCCTAACATTAGGCTCACGGGTAGTTCTTAAGCATTGAATTTTTCAATTTTAACAAATCTTTTGTCAGAGCTGGTATGTGCATGTGAAATTGTGGCTACTGACTTGAATGAATCTAGGCAGTGCCATATTGAAGAGACATTGCCAGACTTCAAAGCATAAAGGCATGTCATGGCATTCACCAATCACATTGAAGTTTGTTAGGTAAGTGGTTGGGGTTGATAGTCAATGAAATCCAGGGTTGGGGCTGGTTGTCCGGGTGATGCAATAATTTCCGAGGGTTTTCTTATCAGGTGCCTTTGATAGGCCCGACACTAGTGGCAATCACAAATAACATTATATAGCACAGAACTTTCTGTGTTCTCGTGCATCCTCCGGAAGTTTGCATCTCGCAATCCTGATCTCTCCCATCTGGAAATCATAGCCTCATATCATTCCTGATCCCCTATATGCGCTTGCTTGTCAGCCTTGTTCATCAGGTCTTGTCAAATTGCCCTCCTGCCTGGTCCCTTTTCTATTAGCACCTGAACATTCTGAGCCTTCATCTCCACCAACGAGCTTTGCTTTCCTGT